TTCTGTGCCATGCACTATGCTAAATTCATTGGTATCCTTTGATGCTTGCAATTTAATAAAGTACCAACCGCTGTCCCCAATTTTACAGATGAAACTGCAGCTCAGAAAGGTTAAGAAACTTGCCCAGGTAGCAAATGGTGGCACCAAAATTTGAGATTGAGACTCCAAAGCTCACATGCATAAACAGAAGGTGAGTAATCACCTCAGTTTTGAAGCATGTGTTAGTGCCAGGCTCTGTGCCAGGTGTGTTAGCACTCACAGTCACTGTGATACAAGTGCTGCTTCAGACTCGTTGTTCAGCGGCGAAGGTGATACTCGGTGGCTGAATGCCTTAACAATGCTGAGAGATGGTTAGCAAGTTCTGGCTCCCACTCCTGAGCTCTGGATTTGGTGAGCTTTGCTCATGACCTCTGGTGCTCTGCCTCCCTACCCCATCCCCACCTTCAACCTGCATGCTCTGATCATACCACGCCCCTTTGCTGTGATGCTCAAGGTGTAAATGCAGCACCATGTGTGTCTTCCTGAGGTATGTCTCCAGCCTCTTCACTCTAGATTTTTTTCTACATACAGTACGGGGCATCTTCATTTCTTAGTGCTGCTGCAATGCAAATACCATAAATAGGTGACTTTCAAGAACAGAAATTTAACTGCTTACATTCTAGAGGTGAAAAGTCCAAATCAGGGTCTCGGCCATGTCCATTCTGTCCTTGTAGGGAGTCCAGAGGTTGGAAGTTGGAGTCTACCCAGAGGTACCTCAGAACAAAGACCTGGCAATCTTTTTCCCACAATCAGCCTTTGAAAATCCTATGGAGCACATTCTACTCTGACACACTTGGGTCACCATGAGCTGGAGTCAACTCTTCTGTAGTGATCTGTCTTCCCTGTGTATATGTGTCTCTGCATCCAGTCTGGTCTTTTCATCCATGCACAGATAAAGGGGCGAGGATTTGAAGGGGATGTTACCCCAAAGCTTGGTCCGGTGTCCTGGGCAATTGTATCCAATTAAATACTCAAGATTTGTTGTTGTTGTTAGGTGCCATCAACTGATAGCAACCCTATGTACACCAGAATGAAACACTGCCTGGTCCTGGGCCAACCTCATACACAATGCTACGGCTGAGCCCATCACTTCCGCCACGGTGACGATCCATCTCACTGGGGGTCTTCCTCTTTTTCTCTGACCCTCCACCTTACCAAACATGATATCCTTCTCCAGTGACTGGTCCCTCCTGACAATATGTCCTAAGTATGAAAGATGAAGTTGGCTATTCTGGCTTCCAACATACATCTATTTGTTCTTTTGGCAGTCCATGAGTCCATGAGCCCATAGGCAAAGAAAAAGAAAAGTCTTTAATATTTGGAAGCTGACTCCCTGAACACCACAGCAAAGAGGCTGGTTTTTAAGGGGGTCCAAAGACTATTTCTTACAAGCAATTTTTATACCCATTTTAACAGTACAGCTTGCATATGGGCTGTAGTCTTAATCATTCTAACATCAACACTAAGTCATGAGGTGTTAATGGTGTCCCAATAAACACATCAAAAGGGAGACTTAATTAACCCTCCCATTGCCTGTTTGCCTAGATGGCCACTCCTTACTAGAAGTTAAACTAACAGGGACCAGGATTCAAGCAGAACTGGGCAACCATTAATATCCTGACAATGAGTCGAGCGTATATCTAAGAAAGAAGGACAGGAGAGGAGGTGGTTGTTCAAGATGCTTCAAACAGTACTTGATTTTATAACTTTTAGCTAAAGCAGTATGGACTCCTGGTGTGGTGCTGTAGGATAAGCACTAGACTGTTAACCAGGAGATTGGTGGTTCAAGGCCACCAGCCGTTCCTCGGAAACCCTATACAGGGTCGCTATGAGCCAGAACCAATAACAAAGCAGTGTAGTTAAGTTCTCAGAATGACTGCACTTCTGTTCATGCAGGTGAGAGGGCTACACTGATGCTCTCAGGGATACAGTTCAGTCTGTAACACTTGGTATGGTTCAGGCCTTATATTGTCCAGGGCGTAGAGGTGCTAGAAGTAAGTAGCACACAGCCTCTGAGCTTTCCCAATTCTGGGAAGACAAGGTATGGCAATTCAGTCTTCATGAAAATAAAGATGAACAACTTCCAAAGAGCTTTGTATCCTCATCAGGAAGACATCATGCTCTCATGGTGAAATAGTGTCCCTGGAAAGGTGCTACTGTTCTTCCAGAGAATTGGGAAGGCATTGTAACACATGCAAAAGAAGATAGAAACAAGAGGCTTAGGGAAATGAAAGATAGGTTTATTAGCATAAACATTCTTGCAGAGAGGAAGGGATGAGCATCCACTATGTGAAAGAAGAGGAGATGGAGCCCTGAAAGCAATTTGGCTTCTTTTATATATCCCTTTTTCAGGAGAGTGGGCTATACTCCTGGTTCCTGTGCCCAAGTAGCCCGTCTGGGGAATTGGTCCATATATGGTCTCCTTGAGTCATGTCTTTCAGGCTTCATCAGCTTATTATTAACTAACTTTATTTCTTCTTACAGCCTCCTATCTTCCTGACCCCGCTTTTCCGAAGTTCCTCATTGCTGAGGTTGCTTTGTTTCCAGCTGAGACAGGCCATACCTAGAGTGACTTGATGGTGGTTAAGTGCTGTCGAGTCAATTCCAACTCAAAGCAACCTTTCACAGGGTTTCTGAGGAGCAGCTGGTAGGATTGAACCACTGACCTTGTGGTCAAGTACTTATCCTACAGCTTCACACCAGGACTCTAGGAATGACTTGAGACCCCCTTTTTCAGCTATTCTAACTACCTAACAATACAGTGTAGAAAACAATCCCATATAACCACATGTATTGTGATATTGAGCCCCGACCAGATCATAAGGCCTTAGCAGGGCAGGGCATGTGGAAGATGTTATGCTCATCATAGGGCTGTCAGTGAGTACTGAATTGACTGTGAATATTGAATGTTAAATAATAAATGACGTCAATAGCCTTACAGTGGGTTCAGCAACCAATTACCTAGGACCAGTTCTGTGCACTATAATGAAATTGCCGGAAGTAAGTAAGGGATAGACCAGAATTCAAAGGTATAACAGCTGTTGAGTGAAAAATGTCATCCTCATGACCTTTTCCCCAGGGTCTCGATTCCCGTCCTCTGTTAGCAGCTGCTTTTGTTAGATTTTTATATCACTTTTCAGGAAGAGTCTATAATTTACTATCTGATTGCTGTCAAGTGGACTCCTGGTGGCCTCTTGTATGTGTCAGAATAGATGTGTACTCCGCAGGGTTTTCAGTGGCTTAGTTTTGGAAATTAGATGGTCAGACCTTTATTCTGAGGCATTTCTGGGAGGACTTAAACTACCAACCTTTTGGTTAGCAGCCAATCAGTTAACTGTTTGCACCACCAGGGATTCATTTGAAGATAAGAGTTTTATTGCATTTGAGAGTTTGTTTAGAGTACAGCTTTCATGAAAAAGTTTCTGTTTTCCTTCTTTTCCTTTCACTTACCTACCACCCCAGCATTTGTAGAGGTGTGATCATTTTCTTTGTTTTTAAAACTAAAGTTGTCCTGGCATTCAGATGCCTGGAAGGAACGCAGTTGGTATCGCAAATGCCTCAAATGGCAGACCCCCAGACTGCCTGCTTTGTTTTAGGCTCTGTGCAAAGAGCTTAAAGATAAGTGAGATGAGTTGACCAGACCCTAACTTAAGTTGGAGCCTCTGGGTGGCGCAGATGGCAAAGGTGCTCATCTCCAGGTTGAAAGTTGAAGTCTACCAGAGATGGCTCTGGTGATCTAGCTCCTGAAACATCGTCATTGAAAACTCTGTGGCACACAGTTCTGCACAGCACATGGGCTCACCATGACTTGGAGTCAACTGCGTAGTATCTGGGTTTTGTGTGGGAGTTTGTTTTGTTCACCTGCCGCACCCCTACTCTCATGTGCTCCCCATGTAAGTCAGACCCATAACCAAATAATCATTAAGACAGTGTTGTACATGCAGTGCAGGGGGTGCGCTCATGGAATCCAGTGGAGGAGGGCCCCTTGCTGTGCTCCATGTGGAGAAGATGGCGTGGGTGGAAAAGGCACTGGGGCAGAGGACAGAGCAGACAGGCGGAAACTACAGACCCTTCTGTATTGCTGCAAACACAGAGCAGCCAGCAAAGCGGCTAGGCATCAAATGGCAGAGGCCTTTGAATGGCACTGGAAACATGGACTTTACCCTGTAGGTTTTCAGTAAATATTTGTGTGTATTAATAAGCTAGCTCTGCAGTTCCGGTTCTTTCCACCATCATAACAGACTCTGTATTAGATGCTTAAGCCATTAGAAGTGTCTCACCTGTGGCGCCCACCCCTGTTCACCACATGAAACTGTGTCAGCCTGCTCATACTCCTAAGTGCCACAGACACCAGGGGGACCTTCAGTCAGAAAAGCCACATGGCTTGCTGAAGGAAACCTGTCCGGGAAGAGCTGTTGGCTCTGTCCACCTGGGCTGACACATGGACCCTTCAGCATGACCACCAAACCCATTTCCTCTGGGACAGACCCTCCCTCAGGGCACCTGGCTGTGAAGCCGAGCTGGGAGAGCAAGAATTCATGGCAATGGAGTCTTCTTTAGGGACAGATGGTCTCTCCTGCCCCTGGTGTGGCCAGTGTGTTGGTGGCCTCCAGAAGTAGAGATGTCATCTCTCCCACCCAAGCTCCATTGTGCTACCAAGAAGCTGCCTCACAGTCAGAGCTGCTTTGGAAGAAGACACTGTCTCCCTTATTGTCCACTTTGGTGTCGACTTTGCCCCCACTGTGACTGTTCAGGGGCCTCTCTGGGTGCCTGGGGGCACCAGAGCCTGGCCAAGAACCCTCCCCATGGCTTCTCTGTGAGGTCCCATGTCTTCCTGTCCTATAGGTCTATTTCCGATGGCCACAGTTGTGGCCTATCCATGGTCTTTCTGGCCTCGTCAGAGTCATGCTTGGCTGTATGTACCACTTCCTCATGTGTTGTTTCCTCTTGTTTTACAACAGGCTCTTCAGAGCAACCTGAAATATTCCTTGTTGCCAAGACGGCTCATTATCAGCAAACGACTAGCTCAGTGTTTGCATCCAGCTTTGCCCAGTGGGGTGCACTTGAAAGCCCTAGAAACCTATGAGATTATCTTCAAAATTGTCGGGACCAAATGGCTGGCCAAAGACTTGTTTCTATACAGGTATGGTTGCTTCTCCGCTTTGTTGCTTTTTTATTACCTGAGTGTTAAGTCCATGCTCCATTTGATGAGATTAGAAAATGACAAACAAGCAAAAGGTGGAGGAGGAGTCAAAAATAACCATAAAACTGTTGCCAGGAGGTCGCCAAGGTTCGTCCTTCCAGGCTTTTCTTTAAGTATATTTTAAATAGGAGTTTAGTCTGCATGCTGTCTACTTATGTGCTCTCTACCAGTGACCTTCTCATGTCATCCCGCCCTCTGTGTTACCATTTTAAATGGTTGTCCATTGCATTTTAAAACTCCCCACACCTCAAAGTGGTCGACTTTAAAGAGCAGACATGTATTGCATTACAGGTTTGTAGGCTAGAAGTCCAAATTCAAAGTACTGGTTGTGCCGATTCCTCCTGAGGGCTCTGAGGGAAGAACTGCTCCTTGCCTCTCTCCTGGCTTCTCGTGGGGTGGCTGTCAGCAGTCCTTGGTGTTTGTCTGCTGCTTGTAGGTGCATCTTCCATGTGTCTCCCCCTGATGTGTGACTCAGCCTCCATCGCTGTTCTCCCTTTATCAGACACCAGTATGGAGGAATTAGGACTAGGGCCCACTCTACTCCCCTGTGACCTCATTTCACTTAACTGACAACAGCGTCAAAGAAAGATCCTGCTTCCCTAAACAAGGTCATGTTTACAGGTACAAGGGTTAGGGCTCTGGCATACCTTATTGGGGGCACACAGTTCAGTCCCTAACAGCATATATTTCTCCCGCTTTCTCAAAGCTGCGGCCTGTTTCCACTCCTGGCAAACGCGGCAATGTCTGTGAGGCCCGTGCTGCTCAGCCTGTATGAGAAGTACTTCCTCCCACTGCAGAAGCTGCTCATGCCCAGCCTCCAGGCCTTCATCACAGGTCTGCTGCCGGGCCTGGAGGAGGGCTCCGAGATCTACGACAGGTGGGTGTCTGTCTCACCCCGTGCTCAGGGCAGCTGGTTTCTCACTCCAACACCAGTTGGCTGTTGAGTCATCCCCAACTCATGGTGATCCCACATGTATCAGAGCAAAACTGTGCTCCATAGAGGTTTCTTGTCTTTGTTTTGTTATTTAATTTCTTATTTATTTATTATTGTGATGAACATATACATAGCAAATCACACCCCAATCCATTTCCCCAAGTACAATTCAGTGGCCTTGAATCCATTCTTCATGTTGTGCAATCATTCTCACTATCCTTTTCCAAATGATTCCACTACCAGTAACATGAAATCAGACCCCCTAAGTGAAAACTGCCCCTTCCCCCTCCCTGCCACCGCCAGTCATCTTAGATAGATAGATAGATACGTATGTATGTTTGTTTCCTATAAGTGAGATCAGACAGTGCTTGTCCTTTGGTGACTGACTCAATCTCATTTAGCAGTGTTTGTAAGGTTTATCCATACTGTGGTATGAGAATCTCATTTCTCTTTGTGAAGCAGTTCATCAGATACCTCTAGGTGGACTCCAATTTCAACCTTTTGGTTACCAGTCAAGCACATCGCCCATTTGCACTGCCTAGACACTGCATTTCATTATAAGGAAAAGCAGTACAGAGGCATGTGACTCATGACAAGGCAGAGTTAGTGGTTTCTGTTACCATTGTTTTGAACTTGGCAAAACATTTTTATTCTCTTGGAACCTCTCTGAATCTCCTTTACCAAAGGGGAACTCCCAAGTGTAGAGAGAGGAAATCCTTTGCCTAGAGAAGCATAGCTCATTAAGGTGGGAAAAGAGAGGGTAGAGTCCAGCCTCCTCTGTCCTGTCCCATGCGAGGTCTTCATATCATCATCTCACAGAGGAAGCTGAAGAAAACTTGAGCTCTGACAATGACTCCTTTTGGAGAAGAAACAAGAGCACCTTTCCTGGGCATGTGCAGGATATACTGTGTACATTCACATTTAATTCCTGTACCCCAGAAATGATCCCCATTCTACGAGTGAGACTCAGAAAACACGAAAGTTTCCCAGGGTCACGTGGCCAGCAAGAGCTAGGTTTCCAACCCGCAGGTCCTGAAGTCCTTGCTCACTCTAGTGTACAAGATTCATTCTAAAAGGAAGAGGTTGATTTTATTGATGGCTAGAGCTTTGGTAGCGTAGTGATTACGAGTTGGGCTGCTAACCTCAAGGTCAGCAGTTCGAAACTACTAGCCATTCTGCAGGAGAAAAATGAGACTTTCTGCTCCCATAAAGAATTACAACCTTGGAAGCCCTGTGCAGGGTCACTATGAGTTGGAACCGACTCCACAGTACTTAACAACAACAATGTGGCGCTGTGGGTTAATGCGCTGGACTGCAAAGTCGTTTGAATCGCAAGGTTGGTGATTCAAGCTCACCAGCCACTCCTCAGAAACCCTATACAGGGTGACTATGGATCGGAATCAACTCGACGCACTTAACAACAACCACAACAACAACTGCTAATGTGGTGGCTGGAACTACATTTGCCTTGGCAGGACCATACCAAATGATTCGGGCCAGACGTTCCCCACCCCGGGTGGAGGTGGAGACAGTTCCTGGTTTGTGCTTTTGGGTGACTCATTAAGAATGGAAATTTTGGCTAAAGTTTAAATTCTCTAACACATTGAAGGCCTACATATTATCTAAGTCTGGCCAGAATTCCTTTCTTAAAGTGCCCGTGAAATAGCCATATAGCTCTGTTTTGCTGCATCCAGACAAAGTATTGGAGGCTGGCAGGATACTAAGCTTCTCTCCTAAAAGGGTGGGGAGAAGAGAATGTTTTGAAATGGTTTATGAGAAAGGAAACACTGCCTCACCAGCTAGCATCTAGTAGGTGGAGGCCGGGGCTGCTATAATCCACACCAGAGCCACCACTACAGAGAATTGTCTAGTCCCAAACACCAGTTGCTATGAGTCGGCACTGACACGATGGCAGCTAACAAATGCCAGTAGTGCCAGGATTGAGAAATTGTGAGTTAAGTAGTTCAGAAATAGCATTGGCAGTTTGTTGGGATCACGATGCTTAGCTCGACTGGTTCTAGACTTGTGTTTTCCTTTCTTCGGAATCATAGCTGGCCTATGTTGAAGATGAATGAAACTGCTGTCTCTGCCCTGCTTGCTCCGATGACCATAGCAGAAGCCATTAGGCCATGTGACAGCTCAGCCCCAGTGGCTAAAGACCCAGGCTTGTGAAATGCTGGGGTTTGCAGCCCTGTGTCACGCGCCTACTTTCAGTTGAGCAAATAAGAGATTGTCAACGTCGTTTGAATAAACTGGTGTTTGCCAGGGGTAGAGAGAACCACAGTCAGAATGAATAAAAAAGGAAAGGTGGTAGGGCTTTCAGTTTTGTTGGTTTGGGGTTGTTGGTTATTTTTAAGTAAAGAAGTTTAGAGATCTGGACCCTAAACTGTACCCTAATTTTGGAATTTAATTACTGAGATGAGGTGAGTAGTTCTTGAGTAAATCTTACTTAGGAGAAAGTTACTTAAGTTTTTTGTTACTGTTGTTTTACCTTTGGATTTTTGGTTGTAAACAACAGAAATCCATTTTCTCCCAGTTCTGTACTCTTGTTTTGTTAGTTTCTGTTGAGTCAGTTCGGACATAGTGGCCCTATGCACAACCGAATAAAACACTGCACCATCCTCGTAACTGTTGCTATGCTGGAGCACGTTCCTGCTGCCACTGTGCCAATCCATCTTGTTGGAGGAATCTTCTTGTTTTTCACTTTACCAAGCATGATGTCCTTCTCCAGGGACTGGTTCCTCCAGACTCCTGTAGGCTAGAAGTCTGAAATTAAGGTATTGGCAGGACTGTATTTGCCCTGAAAGCTCTAGAGAAGGATGCTTCCTTGCCTCTTTCAGCTTATGGTAGTCCCAGGCATTCCTTGGCTTGTGCCAGCATCCCTCCAATCTCTGCCCCCATGTTCACATGACCATCTTTCCTCTGCCTCTCTCCATCTCTGTGCTAGTTAACTTCACTTTTGCTCTTCCGTGGCAAAGGCCCTATAATAATGTCCCTGTTCTTCACTGTGACATCATTTAAATTTTTATTGTCAGTCTCAACTCGTGGCATCCCCATGTACAGCAGAACAAAACACTACCTGGGCGTGTGCCATCCCCACAATCTCTTATGGATCAGAACATCATGATCCTTAAGGAATTCAATTACTGATTTTTGAAATTAGACCACTAGACTGTTCTTCCTAGTCTGGAAGCTCTGCTGAAACCTGTTTAGCATCCCAGCAGCACACACGCCTCCACTGGCAGACATGTGGTAGTTGGTATGAGGTGCATTGGCCAGGAACTGAATCTGAGCCTCCCACAAGGAAGATGGGAATTCTACCACTTTTTTGAACCGACAGTAAATTGAGACTGTTAAAGAATTATTGTTGTTGTTAAGTGCCATTAAGTCAGTTCCATCTCATAGTGACCCTGTATAGGGTTTCCAAGGTGGGTTTGAACCACTGACCTTGTGGTTGGCAATCCACTAATGACTAAAAGAGTAGTCAATATAGTCCAAATATTGTAAAAGTTATAGCATGTGCAGCATGTCCTGTGCTTTGTAACAGTGAAACTCTTCTGTAGTAGCCAGGAATCCATGGAACATGCTCTGGGAGCACCCTTGGTCAAAGCAAAGGGTAGTGTGACTTTAGTGGCCTTGAGCTGGGTTATCTACTTGGAGAGAGAAGCGCACTCGGGGCTTCCTGAATTTATCTGTTGCCATAGATGTTCTTCCCAGTTTGGACCTATCCTGTCTGCCCAGTGCAGCTGCTGCCCAGCAGGCCTGTGCCCTGGGGACTTGAGGGCAGTCTTTCCCCGAGCTTACTGTAACTGTAGCTACTGAGTGGTGCTTCCTCCTAAATTTAGGTCCCTTGCACTGTTGTTTTCTGAGCTGGACTGAGCTCAGCTAGCTATATTTGTTTACTCCATCTTAATAGAAGAACAGTCAGTATCCTCAGACCATTAAGTCATTCTGTGGACTTTTCCTAAATGTCTGCCTCTCATTTTTGTTGTATTTATTTTTATAAAAAGATGACACCATCCATCACTTCCTACTAATGTTTTATGAGATAAGACTATTAAAACTAGTTAGGGGAAGAAGATTCATTTTTAATATGAAAAGGTAGTAGACAATTTTATAGGAAAAATTTCTATATAGACCAAAATGACTGCTGAAAGCTCACCTGGAGATAATTTAGGCTAAAACAGAATGGAAAGAAGGGCGTTCACCTGCTGGTCTTTTTGAGGACCAGCTGTGTGTCAGGCTTTGGGCATGATGCCCCAGCAATCAGACCTACGAGGGACTGCATGTAGTGTGTCTCCTGCAGAGTCATATGGTCATTCTCACAGCATCTTCCTGAGTAGAAACTCTTTCCTGTGTCAGAGGTGAGCATTACCTTGCACAAAGGTTAACCTTATCCTAGCTGCTACAGCCAGGAAGTATCCAAACCAGAATTTGGACCCATGAGGGTAGACTCCAGAAACCAAGGTGTTATCAATTTAATTACATCTCCTAAAAAGATATAAAAGTGCTTTAAAATGTTCATGGGAAAATGGAATTAAATGATAATGGAATTTTTCCACAAACTTTTGGAAGTCCCTTCATATGTTAAAATTCTAAGTTATGTACCTGTGCAGGTGATCTTATTTGGAAAGAAGCGTCTTTGAGGTGTGTCAGTCATGAGGATGTATTGGAGTAGAACAGGTGCTAATCTCATCTGAGTGCTGTCTGTCAATTAAGGAGGAGAACAGATACAGAGAGTTAGAAGTTGTGACTGTGAAGACAGATGCAAGCCAAAGAACCCCAGAAGCCAGGAGAGAAGCTGCGAACAGTTCCCCCTCAGAGCCCACAGAAGGAATCAGCGTAGCCAGCCAGTGCCCTGATTTGGATTGTTAGTCTCCAGAACTGTGAGACAAGAAACTTCTATTCTTATAAACCACCCACTTTGTGGAGTTTTGTTATGACAGCCCTAGGAGACATAGACACTGGATGACCACACAGTTACACTCAGTGTACCTCCTAACCAAAAGATTGATGGTTCAAATACACCTAGAGGTGCCTCCAAAGAAAAGTCTAGAGATCTACTTCCAGAAAAAGCTCCCCATTGAAAACCCTAGGCAACACAACTCTACTTGGACACTTGTGGGGACACCATGAGTTGGAATCCACTGTAGTCCTTGTGTAACTTTTTCCTGTCTTCTCTAAATATAACAGGAAACCTGTGGGGAATGGTATGCGTTCAGATTTTGAGTCATATCAGCCATGAAGTGGAAGTCCTCTGGTGGGAACTTGACTCTGCTGCCTCCGTAGCAGATCCTATCGCCCATCCAGTGTTGACAGAGCAGGCATGTCAGGCAGCACTGCACCCTGAGCGGAGCAGGGCCCTGAGCCGGTGATTACTGACGACGCTGCTTCTCCTAAGTACATGGTGAAGTTGCTGAGGTGGCATCATGGTAGACCCAGATACAGATCAGAGCTGCAGAAAGATCAGGCCTCAGTGTTAGAGCGTCACAGTGTGGGTGTCAGCAAATACCGGAGCTGTGGAGAGGGAGATGGAGGATGTCACTGGCTTACGGAATTTATGTTGTTAGTAGGTGCCATCTAGTCAGTTCTGAACAAAAGCAACAATAGTCTGTTCTAACTCATGTTGACCCCCGGTGACAGAGTAGAGCTGCCCCTGATGATGCTCTAGGTTGGTACCTTCACGGGAACATTTCACCAGGTTTTTCTTCCACAGAGCCACTGGGCAGCTTTGAACCACATACCTCTCAGTTAGCAGTGAAGGGCCTAACTAGTGCGCCTCCAGGGCCCCTTATGGAATTTCTGTGATAGTGAAATCTGTCTCCAGAGTGTCTAAGGTCAGATATCAAATGTGCTCTAGCTGGAGCTATCTTTATGATTACTGAGTGTCTTAAACCAGTCATGTCAGCTTGCTTTCTATCCCCATGCAACAGATGTTTATTGTTGTACCAGTTTATGCCTGGAATTCTTGTTTATTTTTATCGTGGTAAACATGTTTATTGTTGTCAGGCCTAGGAGTCAGTTCCAACTCATAGCCAACCCATATAGGGTTCCTGACAATTTTTAAATCTTTGTGGTTGTTGATAAATGCCATCGAGTTGTTTCCAACTCATAGCTGACCCTGTATAGGGTTCCCGAGGATTTTTAAATCTTCGTGGTTATTGTTGATAAATACCATTGAGTCGGTTCTGACTCATAGCGACCCTGTACAGGATTTCCAAGGAGTGGCTGATGAGCTTGAACTAACCTTATGGTTCCAACTGATCTTGCAGTCCAGTGCATTAACCTACAGCACCACATCGGAAAGCCTCATCTTTCTCCCACATAGCAGCTTGAGGGCTCGAACCTCAGATTTTATGGTTCACTGTCTAGTACTTATCTTACAGAGCCACTGCGCTCCCCATGGTAAATAAATATGCAGCAAATCCGTTGCCACTCCAGCAACGTGTGCAACTCTATGACATCAGTTGTGTTCGTCATATTGTATAACCATCACCACCATCCTTTTCCAACGTTCCCATCACCCTCAACAGAAGCCCAGTGTCCCCTAACCAGCCAGTCCCCTCCTGCCCTCCCTTCTGCCCACCCCTGGTAATTTGGCCTCTATGTACATGCCTGTCCTAGAAATTTCATATAGTGGGAAAATACAGTACGAGAGGGCTTCATAAAATGTGTGGGAATATGAAATTGAAAGGTAATGGGATTCTTCTACAAACTTTTTGAAGCCCCCTTGTATCCATCTGTTTCTCGTTGACTGACTTAACATCACCTTTTCAAGGTTCATCCATGCTGTAGCCATGTGTGCCTCTTTATTCTTGTGACAAGATAATGATTCCTTGTTGTCTTGTCTAACACGGTGACTGCTTGTCCCTTTGTGGAATGGATGCAGCCTCTGTGAGCACCTCCATGTGTCCATGGCCAGCCCAAGGGGATGGCGGAACTGCCTGCTTGTGACCCCACTGCTCCTAATCTCCCCCCTGGTGATGTTTGTTTTAGCAGCAGTTGCAGTGTGACCACCAGCAGGTAGACAAGAGCGCGAGGGCAAGAGACGGCAGCAGCTCAGAACATTCTCTGTGGCCAGGGAGAATGAGCTGGAATTGTGGGCAGTGTTCATGGAACCATGTTACAGGGGAGACGGGCAGGCCACAGGGATGAGCCCTCAGTTCTCTTTCTCTCTCTTGAACAGAACCGATGCTTTGCTACTGAGGCTGTCTCTGGTGGTGGGCAGGGAGGTGTTCTACACTGCTCTTTGGGGAAGCGCCCTGGCCAGCCCAACGGTGCGCCTCCCTGCCTCACTCTTTGTCGTGGGCCACATCAACCGCCACACACCTGGCAAGGAGCAGACGTTCATGCTGGGGACTGATTACCAACTGACGGTAGGTCTGGGTGTGAGTCCCTGATGTAGACTGTCCCCGAGGCCACAGGGAACTACAGGCATTCAGGGTTCCAAGTGCATCGTGAGGAGCTGGGCAGGACCGGGAAGCAGCGCTCTTGTTACACAATAAGAGCTGTCGGGGACCATGTTCGGTTCATGAGGAGGAGATACCTGACGGCGATAAATATATAGCAAGAATACACAGAAGGAGACAGAGAGAGACAATGAGGCACCCCAAAGCCAGGGTGGATACATCACTGGTGGGCAGGCTTGGGACTACAGGCATCGTGGCCTCTGCAGGCAGCAACTCACTGCCCTGCAATCTTTACCGCATGCCCTCCATCTTGTATTGCACTGCAATCTTTACTGCATGCCTTCCAACCCGTAATGCACACCTGGGGAGGCCTGGGCCTCTGCTTTATTTAGGGGAGGAGCTTCACACCAAGCTGGGAGGGACTTAGGCAAGGTACAGCTAACATCAGTACTTTTCCAGACATTCAGGTAACTTTACATCATACTTCGCTGGTTCGAATCCCAGGCCCACAACTTGGTTTCTCAGGCTCAATTAACATATCTATAGCCCCTGAGGTCAGTTGGGGGAAGGTGAGAGGTAAGGATAAAAGCTTGGGCGGAGTCCTGCTGCTTCAGCTTCCTGAGCCAGGTCTGCAGGAGGACTCGACACCCCAGGTGAATTGGCTGCACCTGGAAAAGGATTAGGGAGGATGGGTTCTTTGTCTATAGAACAAAGAACAGAGAAGTAGCTAAGATATTTTTAGTTAATCCTTTGGAGAAAGGCTTGACCTTGCAACCTTTACAGTCTGGGCTTTAGGAAAATATCACATTTATCTGTGGATTATCAAAGGCTCTGTGTATTAATTTAATACATGTAACTGAATATTAAGATGAAAAACAATTTGCCATTATCTGCCAGTGGCCTCATTTGTTACACTCGGGCCTATAGGGCCTCGAACCTCTGACCAGTCTTACACGGTCTGCAACAAAGAGCAAGATTTTTTTTTTCATTTTCTTTACTTTTTTATTGTGGATTGAGTGAAAGCTTACAGGGCCGATCATCAGTTTTAACATTTAACAAATCATACAACTGTTTCATCACAATGATTACAATCCCCACCATGTACCATCCGTTAGCAGTGTTTCTATTCACTTTAGGTCTTTTTTTTTAAAAAACAAAAAAACTCAGGCATATATAATAATTTACACCACCAAAGGACACATTCTGCAAGTCTGCCTCTTGGACACTAACTCTTAGTCCCTCGCTTCCTATGAATCTAGAGTCCTCAGCCACTCCCCATCTCCTTGTCCCCATCTGTCTCCATCTCTGGTGTCACTGCTTCTCTGCATAAGGTTTGCATTCCACTTGTGCTCTTCTCCCTTGATGATCGTAAGGGCCTCTGTTTCTAGACTGTAAGATTAACTACTCCCACGTTTTTGATACAAAACTTCTGCCTTTACAATTGTGACAGTCACAATTAGTCATGATAACAATTACTTACTATTGAATTATAAGAATCTTATCCCCATGTCTTTTAACCAGACCCTTCTAGACAAGATTAAAACTATTCAGTGGGGACTCTTTCTTCCCTCACACACTCTTAAACTAAACTCCCTCTTTAAACCTTATAAGCCAGTCACTTCGTGCCTTTATCGCCCCCTCGTTTTAGGTAGCCAATATCTTAAGTTGCCCATCCCTATCTACCCTGTGTACAGAGAAGATAGCATTGATACTTGATGTAAAGACTCTTTCCCTCTCTGTTGGTATTTAAAGTTACTACCTCCATGAATATAGGTCAGGTTCATCAAATTGTAGCAATTTACCCTTGTTTCCTTTATCAAAAATTGTTGTTGTTGTTGTTGTTTATTATTATTATTTTCTGTAATCGTGTTCTGATTATCAAGCCATCGAGGCTAGATCAAATGGGTACTATCTGCAAGTTTGGGTGTTCTTGTGCATCTCCCTTCACTTCATATCAGCTGGATGCTTCACTCTCAGCTCTAGCCCTCTGTGGCTATGTCCTTGTCCATGGGCTCAGGTGTCGAGATTTTTTTTTTTATATATATATATATACTTAATTTTTTTTCAGAGCAGTTTTAGGTTTAAAGAAAATTGTGCATCAAGTACTGAGTTCCCATTCGTCTGGCCCCCAATTCCATCCCCCTACACACAGTGTTATTAACATCTTGCATTAATGTGGTACAATTTGTTACAACTGAAAAACAAATTACAAATGAGTTCCATTCCTACATCTGTCTTTAAGTTGAATTTGTGCATAAATTGGAACAGTTAAGATGTTGGTTGTATCTAATGTCAGTCAAATGTTTGTAATAGTATATATCAGACAAACAAACCTAGTTCCATCGAGTCGATTCTGATTCACTGAGACCCAGTAGGACAGACAGAGTAAAACTCTCCCATAGGATTTCCAAGACTGGAAATCATCTGTCTTCCACAGAGCAGCTGGTAGGTTTGAACTGCCAATCTTGCAGTTAGTAGCCAGAGCCCCACCAGCACTCTTATTTGGTATATCGTGCACTCTTTAAGGAGCTCCAGTAGTGTAGTGATTACAAGTCGAGCTGCTAATTTCAAGGTCAGCAGTTCAAAACTACCAGCTGTTCCATGGAAGAAAGATGAGGCTTTCTGCTCCTGTGAAGATTTACCGCCTCGGAAACGCTGTACAGGGTTGCTGTGAGTCGGAACCACCACCATCACCAGTGTGATTTTTATGCATAAAAAAAATAAAGAAACCCTTTCAGGTATACTAAAGCATCTCTAATATAATAATAATCATTACCATCAAGGATTTATTTTACTTGGATTCACAATTAATGCCCATGGAAGCAGCAGTCAAGACATCAAATAACATATTGCATTGGGCAAATCTACAAAAGGCCCTTTAAAATAAAAAACAGCAAAGATGTCATTTTGAGGACTAGGATGTTCCTGATCCAAACCATGATATTTTCAATTGTCTCATACACATGCAAAAGCTGAACAGTTAATAAGGAAGACTGAAGAATGAATGCCTTTTTGGCTTGTGGTGTTGACGAAGAATATTGATTATACCGTGTACAGCCAGAGGAATGAACTCGTCTGTCTTTGGAAGTACAGCCAGAATGAGCCTTAGCAGCTAGGATACTGAGACTTGGTCTCTTGTACTTTGGACATGTTATCAGGAAGGACCAGTCCCTGGAGAAGGACCTCATGCGTGGTAAAGTAGAGAGTCAGTGAAAAAGAGGAAGAGCCTCAAGGAGATGGACTAACACAGTGGCTGCAACAGCAGGCTTCAACATATCTCAACAATTGTGAGGATGGTGCAGGACCAGACAGTGTTTCGTTCCGGTGTACAGAGAGTCCCTTTGAGTTGGACCAACTTGATGGCACCTAACAATACCAACAACAACAATAATGTTTTAATATATGGTGCAAAACAGCACCTGTTTGCTATTGCAAACCATTTTACATACCTTGAAGTTTTAACATAGGTTTTATGAAGGCTAGTTTGTAACTACAAGTTGTATATAAGTTGAACAGATATTCATAACCTGTGTATTGTTAGCTAAAGTTCATAGTTAACATTTAGGTTCACTCTTTGTTTCGTACAAACCTTTGTTTTCTGACTAATGCAAAATGTCATGAAGAATCATTTTGTTGTTGTTGTTAAGTGCCATTGAGTTGATTCTGACCCATAGTAACCCTGTATAGGGTTTCCAAGGAGCAGCTGGTGAGCTTGAACCACCGACCTTGCAGTTCAAACGACTGCCCTAAAAATGCCTGTGCTCCAGCTGTTCATCGCTTCCCTTTCCCCCTGGACTCCTGGCAGCTGCTGATCTGTTTACTGTCTCAATAGTTTGCTTTTTCCAAAATGTCATATACTTGAAATCATACAGTAACCTTTGCAAGCTGGTTTCTTTCCGTTGTTACTGTTAGGAGCCGATTCTGATTCATAGCGACCCTATACACAACAAAATGAAACACTGCCCAGTCCTGCACCATCATCACAATTGTTGTTACGCTTGAGCCCTTTGCTACTGTCATTGTGTCAGTCCGTCTCCTTGGGGGTCTTCCTCATGTTTGCTGACTTCCCACTTTACCTAGCATGATGTCCTTTTCCAGGGACTGGTACCTTTTGACAATATGTCCAAAGTATAAGATATGAAGTGTCATCATCCTGGCTTCCAAGAAGCATTCTGGTTGTATTTCTTCCAACACAGATTTTTTTTTTTTTTTTTTTTCTGGCAGTCCATGGTACTTTTAAGACATTCTTCTCCAACACCATAACACCAAATGCAGAAATTCTTCTAAGATCTTCCTTATTCACTGTCCAACTTTCACATGCATATGAGACTATCAAAAATACTATGGCTTTCAGTTAGCAGCATGCATTTAAGGTTCCTCCATGTCTTTTTGTGACTTGGTAACTCATTTCCTTTCATTATTGAATTAATATTCCATCCTCTGTGTTTATTCATCCGTTCACCTACTGAAGGTCATCTTTGTTGCTTGCGATTCTTGTCAATTATGAATAAAGCTGCTGTAAAATTCACATGCAGTTAGTGAATTTGGTAGATACTTTGCATGACTTTTTTTTTTTTTTAACTTGTGATTTGAGTGAAAGTTTACAGAGCAGATCACTTTTCCATTCAGCAGTTTATACACATTTTGTTTTGTGACATTGATTATAGTCCTCACAATGTAACAGCTTTTTTTTTTTTTCTCACTTCCTCCATGTGTTTAGCATTACCCTTCTTCCTTCTTTGCTATTCCTTCCTGTCTTCTGACCTTTACCCCCTGGCAAATGCTGCCCTTTGGCTCTCATATGGTTGTTTGTTCTAAGGAGTGTGTGCCTCCACAGTGTTCTTGTGCACCTGTGGGGCCTGTTGTTTGCCTGAAAGTTGAGATCAGTTCCAGGCTTGAAGGGTGTTCAGGGGCCATAGTCTCCTCAGGGGTTCCACCAGTGTCTGTCAGACCAGTAAGCTGGTCTTTTTTGTGATTTTGAGTTTTGTTCCACATTTTTCTCTTTCTTTGGAAGGTTACTTCCAAAGCCTTCCATTGTGATCCCTTTCAGAGTGGTCAGTAGTAGTAACTAGGCACCATCTAGTTCTTCTAGTCTCAGGCCCGTTGAGGTGCATGTAGACCACTAGTACTTTGGACTAACTGTTTTCATGCCATCTTTGATTTTCTTACTCTTCTTTGCTATGGACAGAGACCAATAACCAATAGTTGCATCTTAGACAACAGCTTACATACTTTTAAGATCCCAGTTTCTATTCACCAAGGTAGGATGTAGAGTCTTTGTGGACTATGTGATGCCAGTTGACCCTGAAGGTCCCCCAGGACTGTGGTCCTGAGCCCCCAGGTCCAGCAACTCATTCCCTCAAGGTGTTTTGTGGTTATATCTTGCAAGTTCACCTAACTTTGCTCCCTGTGTGCTCTGTTATTTACATGTATGATAGGAGCTCTGGTAGTGTAGTTGTTACAAATCGGGCTGCTAATCTCACAGTCAGCAATTCAAAACTGCCAGCTGATCTGTGAGAGAAAGATGAGGCTTTCTGCTCCCATAAAGATTTACAGCCTTGTAAACCCTATGCAGGGTCTCTATGAGTCAGAACAGACTCCACGGCACATAGCAACAACAACATTGACAGTACTTACAAATGCACCTGTTCAGGTGACTTTTTAACACAAGCGTTAGAACTCATGTTTCAAGTAAACGTATTATTGTGAATTGAGTGAAGGTTTATAGACTAGACATGATCACCAGTACAATTTATTATTATTATTATTATTATTATTGTGTTCTTCCCTTCCCTGTTTCACACAAACTTCCATCTCCCAGCCTCTGTCCTGTGATCACCTCTTGCTCCTCCTTTGGCTCTCTCAAACCAAAACTGCCAGGGTTTTGTCGGAGACTCCACAGAAGTCCATCTTCAGGCCCTCAGTCAGGGACTGCTCTTGCCCCAGTGACATCCCTTCTAGTTCTCTTTTCCCTCAAGTGGGCCTTTTAAATTCTTCGTGACCTGCTGTGTATTGCCACCTAGTGGTGAGCCCGCACTTCAACTTTGAAGTGTTTAAATTGAACTACATGAGAAAGCCCTGGTTTTGAAAGCCAGCTCTGCAACTTGGTGTTCATTCCTTACCCCTCTGAGCCTGCTTCTCTGTAAAGTAGGGATTGTGGGCTTGCTGCCACATAGATTCTTGGAGATAAAAGGAAAACATTTGTGAGAACACTAAACACAGTGCTTGGCACATAAGTGACCCTCATAAAGAGGTTCCATCTCTCCTGTTCTCAGCTTCTCTGCTACTCTGTTTTCAGTGCCTTGCTTCAGTTTCCCATGTCTTGATTCTCAATCAGAACGTAATTTTATAACTTATCCACCATTTCTTCCTCAGCCTATCCAACTCTTATCCATTGGTAAGAAATTTGCTTTTCTAAAGCATGTTGTTGCTGTTGTTAAGTGCCGTCGAGTTGGGTCCAATCCATAGTGAACCTGTATAGGGTTTCTGAGTATTGGCGGGTGGGCTTGAACTACAAACAGTTATCAGTCCAATACTTACCCTATAGTGCCACACCAAGACTCTAAGTAGCAGCTTGAGAGCCCCTTATAGGATATGAGTTCAGGTTACAGGGACCAGGTATTTCTCTTACAGATAAAATGCCGCTTTTCCTGGTACACTGAGCAGTGTTTATTACTACCATGTGGGGTAAAGGTGTAGAAGGGGAACATTTCAGATGCTACAGGTAGTATTGGTGGTAACAGAATGTTGTTGCTGTTAAGTGCCATCGTGTTTCTTCCAACACCTAGGGACCTTATAGACAGATTCTGAGGAGCTTATGGTTAACAGTCCAGTGTTTACCCTGTAGTGTCACACTAGGACTCATTTGGGATTATAGGATTTGACCCTCTGATGCAAACCGCTCCAATCCTTAAGGAAACAAGTGATCCCCCAACTCCGTAGCACCCAGAGCTAGAGCCCACCTGTACATCTTTCCTACTTGGAAGAAGACTCATTAACAACCTGCGATATGCAGGTGATACAGCCTTGCTTGCTGAAAGTGAAGAGGACTTAAAGCATTTACTGATGAAGATCCAAGAGCACAGCCTTTGGTATGGATTACATCTCAATGTAAAGAAAACAAAAATCCTCACCACTGGACCAATAAACAACATTCTTATCAGTGGAGAAAAGATTGAAGTTGTCAAGAACTTCATTCTTCTTGGATCAACTATCAACACTCACGGAAGCAGCAGTCAAGAAATCAAACAATATATTGCATTAGGCAAATCTGCTGCACAAAACCTTTTGAAAGTGTTGAAGAGCAAAGATGTCAGCTTAAGGATTAAGGTGTGCCTGACCCAAGCCATGGTATTTTCAATAACTTCATATGCATGTGAAAGCTGGACAGTAAATAAGGAAGATGGTAGAAGAATTGATGCCTTTGAGTTATGGTGTTGGAGGAGAATACTGAAAGTGCCATGGACTGCCAAAAGAACCAATACATCTGTTTTGGAAGAAGTGCAACCAGAGTGCTCCTTGGAGGCCAGGATGGCCAAACTTTGTGTCTCATACTTCAGACATATTGTCAGGAGGGACCAGTCACTGAAGAAGGATATCATGTTTGGTATGGAGGGTCAGAGAAAAAGAAGACCCCTAATGAGATGGATTAGCCAAGTGGCAGCATCATTGGGCTCGAGTGTGGCAACAATTGTGAGGCGGCCCAGGCCTGGGCAGTGTTTCGTTCTGTTGAGTATAGGGTCACTATGAGTCAGTACCAACTCAATGGCATCTCACAACAACTTCTCTTCCAGATGGTTTAACACAGTGATTCCAGGATTCACAGGAAAAGTTACTTTCATTTTTATGACTGTAAAGAGTGGCATGCATAAATGTTGATAAATGACTTTCTAATAAAGAGTCGTGGTTAAAGCACTTGGCTGTGAACCAAACATTTGGCTCAACTACTTTGTGCATCAGTCTGCTTCCACACAGATTTACCGCCTTGGAAGTGCAATGGGGAAGTTCTCTTCTGCCCTACAAGATCTCTGTGGATGGGAATCAGCTGGACAGCAGTGGGCTTGGTTTGGTTTTGTCTTTGTAATGAAATAATGAGGTGTTACGTGCCGTTTCATCACTTACAGGTAAAGTCTTTATGTGCATCACTGTTAGACTCAAACGTTCTGGTGCAGAGAAATAATTTGGAGATTGTCCTGTTCTTCTTCCCATTTTATACCTGCCTGGTAAGTGGTCTCTGTTCTTCTGGGTACATCACTGGTGTTTCCTGAGGATGTGGGGTGGCAGTGGTCTCTCTCCAGCAGTTTTGTCTTGAGAGAAAAGCTCAGCCAGTTAGCAACTGCTGTTTGCTTTCGGCAGATTAAAGTCTGTGAACGTGGCATTTCCATAGCGAATGTTGAATAGCTTCTTTCCTGCCACAATATGTGAGGGACCAACTCCTTTTGAGAGCTGCCTTTGTGAGGTGGAGCTTGGTAGACTCTCAAGGAAAGGCTATCTGGTCACTGGGTAGCACAAGTGATTTGCTCCCAGATACTAAGCAAAAGGTTTGCTATTCAAACCCACCCACTTGTGACCTGTGTTAAGAAAGGCCTGGTGATCTGCTTTGCAAAGATTTGTTGTTGTTGTTGTGTGCTGTCAAGTCAATTCTCACTCACAACGACCCTGTAGGACAGAGTAGAACTGCCCCCATAGGGCGCCCAGGGCTCTGATCTTTACAAAAGCAGGCGGCTTCATCTTTATCTCATAGGGTTCAGCTGCCCCTTTCATTTGGCAGCCGAGCGCTTAACCACTGTGCCACCAGTGTTCCTTCCTATAAAGTTTCCAGTCCAGAGAAAGCCTGTAAAGCAGTTCTACTCTGTAACACATGGGCTCGCCATGAGTTGGCATTGATTCAACAGCAGTAGATTTGGTTTTTGCCTCATGTCAGAAAGCCAGTAATAAACCTTACAGCATCTGCATTAAAACTCTTGTCTGTCCTTTTCTTAGGATCCTGATGAGAGAGCCATTCCTCTGCTCAGATCTGACATCATCCATGTTCTGTCATCCGCCACCCAGACCCTCCTGAGGAGAGAAATGTCTTTAAACAGAAGACTCTATGCGTGGCTACTAGGTACTGAGGGGTATGCAGTAATTTAGTCCAAGTCAATGAAACCTTTTAGTACTGACCTTTGGAATAAGTAATCTATCTTGGTGATCGATTTCTAAATTGTGAGATATGGAAAGGTAGCATGCTGAGTGAGCAGAGCACCTGTCTGTTGAGTTTTGTTGACTATGGTGTTGGCTACTTTACAGCTATAAAAATAAGGAAACTAATAAATGGGATTTTTTAAATACCACTTGAATTCATTTTAAGAAGCTTGAAATACCATAAAAATTACAGTCTAAACTTTATCAGGTAGAAATGTGTTACTGTGAAGATGGTTCATGGGATAAGCCAGGGTGTGTGTGAGAGAGAACCCCACAAACACTGGAATATGTGTAAAGAGGAGAAGATTTTGGATAAAGAGAATGACATGTGGGGGAGATATATGGGTAGCTGGGTAAGTGAGAGAATCCCTGAGCTAGTGTTTCTGTGTGAGCGCATGCTTTTGTGGACAGCCTGTCAGTTTGTTAGAAGGCTTCACAGAGACAGGGTCCTGAGGATCACAGGGCTTAGAGGGTAGTGGGTATCCCCAGGTAGTACAAATGGTTAACACTCTCTCCTGTAACTAGAAGGTTGGTAGTTAAAGTCTACCCTGAGACGCCTTGGAAGAAAGACCTGTCAATCTAGTTATGAAGAACTTGTCCTTGAAAACCCTGTGGAGCACAGTTCTATTCTGACACATGTGGGGTCAGCATGAATTGGAGTGATTGGCCACTGATTAACTGTTGTTGTTGTTGTGAAGTGCCATGATTCTGTGAGTTGTACACCTGGATTGCTAGTTAAAGAGTAGTAAAAGGCACCGATAAGCATTTTATCAATTCCCATACTCATGTACCTAAGGAAAGCTAACTTACAAACAATTGAAAGCACTTCACAGAGTTTTCTTAATCATCAACACAGAAATATTATGTCACCACATCAGGAAGCCTCTTAATCTTTTCTTTCTGCTTTCCCCACCCTATACAACTTTGAGGAGTATTACCTGGGTGCTTACCAAAGATTTTTAGAAGAATATCCAAAGGCTCTATCAACAGGCTGAATTTGTCAAAGGCATAGCTCTGTGCCTAGTGGGAATATTTGTTCTTGTTAAGTGCAGTCGAGTCAGTTCCAGTCCATAGCAACCCTGTATAGAGTTTCCAAGGAGCCGTTGGTGAGCTTGAACCACCCACTTTGTGGTTCAGACCAACTTTGCAGTCCAGTGCATTAACCCACAGCGCCACACCAGGTCTCCAGTGGGAATAGATATGCTCTGTATAGAAAGTACAAGAGGGCTTCTAAATTTCCATGGAAAAATTCCAGTATCTTTTAGTTCCCTTTTTCCGTGACCTTTCTGAAGCCCCCATCTGACTCATTCAGTTGTCCCCAGGAGCCCCAGAGTCTTTGCCTGTACCATTTGGATGCTAATCCTTCCCCCAAGGACCTCACAGTCAGCTAAGGTCCGAAATCAAGGCTAACCTGAGAGAATGCCTTGATTTTAGGGGCCGCTGAGTCAACAGTGACTAATAGCAACCCCATGTGTATCAGAGCCGGACTGTGCTCCATAGGGTTTCCAGTGGCTCCTTATTTGGAAATAGCTCACCAGGCCTTTCTTCCCCTTCAGGACTTCTGATTTCACAGTCCTGTGTAAACAAACGGTGGTTTGTCACGTATTATTCTCATTCATCTCCATACCTGTAATCGTGTCACCTGTAATCATGGGTGATGCAGATGATTAAGCACTCAACTACAAGCTGATAGAAAGATTGGTGGTTGAAACCTACATAGAAGCTCCTTAGGAGACAAGTCTGGCGATCTGTTTTTGAGAGGTCACAGCCTTAAAAACCCTATGGAGCAGTTCCAGTCTGTACCATGGGGATACCGTGAGTCAGAATCAACTTGATGGCAAATGACAACAACCACGACTGTAATTGTAAAAGAAAATTAGAGAAGAAGCCTCTTGGAACACATTAACTTCATGCCTGTTGAGATGGGATTCTGACACCCCACTCTCAGAATTCGTCTCAGTGAAGAGAAATATGTGACTTGGTCTTTATGAGCCTGGTTTTGGTTTCCTATGGAAATAATTGACTTTTCTAGAAATGTATATCAGAACATGAGACTTTATCACAATACAATGTACTTTAAAATTACAGCTGTCTTGTTGTAGGATAAGCACTGGACTGAGAGCCATAGGATGGACGTTCAAATCCTCCAGTGGCTCCTCAGAAACTCTATACAGGGGCTATATGAGTTGGAATTGACTCGACGGCACTTAACAGCAACAACACTGCAGTTCATGGTATTTGTTTTCTTACAGGTTCAGATATTAAAGGAAACACTGTGGTGCCGGAATCAGATATCTCAAATTCTTATGAAGACCAGTCATCTTACTTTTTTGAAAAGTACTCCAAGGATCTGTTAGTTGAGGTAAAGAAATGCTTCTGGAAACTCAGCTCCAGCCAGAGCATCCTTTTGTGTGTGTGTGTGGTGAGAATATAGTCTATAAAACATCCACCAGTTCAATAATTTCCACTTGTAAACTTCAGTGGCACTGATTCAAATCTTCATAATATTCAACCATTGCCACTGTCCTTTTGCAAGTTATTCCATCATTAACATAAAATCATTGCCCTTAAGCAAAGAGTTTTCCGTTTTCCCTCCTTACCACCTCTGGTAACTGGCTTTTCTCATGTGAGGCCACTTCTTGTGTGTCCTTTTATAATAGACTTACTCCCCCCAGCATGTTTTCAAGGTTCACCCATATGGTAGCTTGCTTCAGGACTCCGTTTCTGTTGATGACTGACTATGGAATAGCCTACTTGGAACCCCTATACAGGGTCGCTATGGGTCGGAACCGACTCGATGGCACTTAACAACAACAACTGTGTTTGCACATTCATCTGTTGATGGACGTTTTAGTTGTTTCCACACTTTGGTTATTGTGGACAGTGCCGTAATGAGCATCGGAGCATAGGTCTCTGTTTGCATTCCTGCTGTTACTTCTCTTGGGTCGATACCTAGGGTTGGGATTGCTGGCTCATACGGCAGTTCTGTGTTCAACATTTTGAGGCAATGCCAAACTGTTCTTCACAGTGTCTGCTGCATTCTGCCTTCTCACCAACAGAGGGTACTGGTTCTCCAGGGGGTGTTTGGTCATGGGATGTCAGGGAGTTCTTAGGTGGACCTCAGAGATGTTGCATGTGCCACAGGACATGAGGTAGAGAGCTGCAGCATGCTGGTTGTCTGCTGTTGGCTGGTTTTCTTTTTATCACAGTGTGTTTAACTTACAGCACCTATTAATGTCATGCTTTACTCTGGTCCTAACATTCGAATATGTGACTTTTTAAACAATAGGGCCTGGTTGAAATATTGCACCAGAACTTCTCAGGTGTTGATGTGGAGGAACGCCATCAGGCTTACCTAAAACCTTTCCGTATCCTGGTCAGCCTGCTGGACAAGCCGGAAATAGGTAATACTAGAAATGGTGTGGAGTTCTTGGGGGGTGCAGACAGATAACACACTTGACTGCTAACCAGAAGGTTGGTGGTTCGAGTCCACCCCAAGGCAGCTTAGAGAAGAAAACCTGGCCATCTACTTCTGAAAACTCAGTCATTGAAAACCCCATAGAGTACAGTGCAGTTCTACTCCGACACAGAAGGGGGTGGGGGTGTCAAGAGTCAGAATCAGCTTGACAGTTCTGAGTTTTTAGAAATGATTCAGTGCTACTTCATGGCCCAGAAAGCAGCAGCGTTGTTGAAGGTGACCCTCATGTTTCAAATACAGACATTTTCAAAAATAAGTCACTAATACTCAGAGTTAAAATGTTATTTAGTCTTTGGGATTTGAGTGTGGTTCAGTTATTGTATGGGGGCCACTGAGTGGTCTTGCTCCAATAAGCTGAATATTTTGGTTAGGAAAATGCCTTTGAGCCCCTATGCGTGTTTCATAGAACACATGCAGTATTGTTCCTGTAGAACACATGCAGTATTTACTTTTCAGAATGTTTCTTTAATCCTTGAACTTAGATTTTATTTTCAAATAAATAGATAAGGCACCCTCCTCTGTCTCTGCCTGTGTCCCTGGGCACTCTCCTTCTGCCATCTGGGCCTTGGTCTTCTGTGAAATGAAGGGATTGTACTAAGTTCTGGGCCCCACTTAACCATGGTCCCATAGCATCAGTGAGAAAGGTGGTCCTCTCGCCTTCACTTTTCTACAAACCCAACTGTGCTACACCACCCATGTGCTATGACAGCTTGACAGGAAGTGCCTTGAGTACCACAGTGGGGGAAGCCCCTCCCATACTCCCCACCTGGATTGCCAACTCATTACTGCCCAGGCTGTGCCCACAGACAGATGTATGCTTGTGATTTTCAAAGAACCGAAGAGCCGAGGGCATTAATGAGGTGACTGTGCAACCTAAAGGTAAGACCGTTCATGTGCTCAGACAGCTGTCGAGCGTCTGTTGCGCAGCAGGCACAGTGATGGATGTGTGGTTAGGTGTAGTCAAGTCGGTTCCCACTTACAGTAGCACTCCATAGAGTTTCTGAGGCTGGTAATCGTTGCAGGAGCAGAAAGCCCCGTCTTTCTCCTGTGGGTGTTAACTGCCGACCTTCTGATTAGCAGTCCAGTGCATATCTTACAGCACCAGTATACAGGGATAAGAAGATTCCTTGTCAAGTAAACTGAAGAAAGACTTAAGTCCTGGTGTGGTTTCACTGTTTTAATATTAATGATTGTTAATATTAATATTAATAATAACTAATATTTTTGTGTTCAGTAATTTTTTGCCAAACAATTTGTATGTGTTTGTAATGCCATCCTCCAACATCTCTGAGGTGGGGGTCTCTTGTTATAACCATTTTTACAGACAGACTAAATTTGAGCAAGGGTCAACCCAGGTCAACCCATTTGTCTGAGGTCTCGGGAGCTGCGATGAAATTTGATTTGTTTGATTCTGGAGCTTTAATAAACTCTGTTCAGCATGATATTCTGCTGCTTACCTGGGTATACTCAGACCACATCATAGATGCTTACTCACATAACAATGATGAGTTTAAAAAAAAACAAAAGCTATAAAAATATATACAGTGAAGTATAAGCCTGTGAGACCCGGAACTCAACAGGACCACCTTGTTTTGCCAAATGTCACAAGTCTGCCACTTTTGACAGAGTGTAATCGTTACACTTTTATTTCACTGTTATTTCACTTTCTGTTACTAGAAGATGTTTTTGTTTTCCTTCTCTGGCAGGTTTCTGCCATACACAATTTCCAGCTTTCATAGGTGTCTGGAACATTTGCCATTTCCTCTCCTTTTCCATGTATAGCTTGGTGATGTTAAGGGCATTCATCATGTTCAGTCATCACCCCTCTCCATTTCCAATCTTCCATTGCATTGAGAGAAACTCAGTGCCCTCCCGCCAAGTAATGACTCCCCTTTCTTTCTCCCTCCTATACCCCTCGGTAACTATTCATAAGCTTTGATCTTATTTGTCTTTTTCATATAATGGGATCATACTTTGGAATGTTATCCGGAGGGACCAGTCCCTGAATAAGGACAACATGCTAAGTAAAGTGGAGGATCAGTAAAAAAGAGGAAGTCTGTCTCCCAATGAGATGGGTTGACACCATAGTGGCAGTGATAGGCTCAAGTGTAACAATCATGAGGGCCAGGCAGTGTTTCATTCCGCTGCGCAGAGGGTTGCTGTGAGTCACAGCAACTCCACGGCACCTAACAACATAGTATCTTGCATTGTTGTTGTGTGCAGTGGGTTCGGTTCCGACTCATAGCGACCCTGTACAGGGTTTCCGAGGCTGTAAATCTGTACGGGAGCAGAAAGCCTCATCTTTTTCCTGCAGAACAGCTGGTAGTTTCGAACTACTGACCTTGTGGTTCACAGCCCGATTCATAACCACTACGCTGTAGTTTTATCTCTCACCCTCCTCTTCCTTCCTGCTTCAGCCAATCAGCTGTGACTCACGTAGATTTTTTTTCTCCTGGTGTGGTGTGACTATCTCTGCGGAATCATAATTTAGTCTAAAAGTGAAACCAGTTATACAGATGTTTTGAGAACTTGCTGTATAACTTGGAGAAGAACTGGTCAATAAGGAAAATAAGACTCAGCACAATGGAGATACATATTTAATGTCCAGGCTAGGCATCTGGGAGAAAGCCAGGTCAGATGTTACTGCTAGCTTGGATTTTCCAAAAGGACTGAGTGGCCAGTCTCTGCCCAAACATTTTGTTAACTGCCCTCACGTCAGCCACCATGGAACAAAATACCACTTGGTCCTGTGCCATCCCTCGATCAGTTGCCAGTCAGACCATTGTGGTCCACTGGGTTTTCATCAGCTGGTTTTCAGGAGAACTCCAGGCCTTTCTTCCTAATCCATCTTAGTCAGGAAAGAATCCACTGAAGCCTCCACTGACGGACGGATGGCAGCTGCGCATAAGGGACATTGTCCAGGAATCGATCTTGGCTTTCCCGCATGGAATGCAAGCACTCCATCTGGGAAAAGACACATCCATGTTTTTGTGTAAATAACAGGCAGCCTCTGCTCCCATGTTGTTTTCATAAGTGTGCTATCCCCCAAGTTTTGTGTGGGGGCACATTATTTACATGGGTGTGTTATTTACAGAAGAAATAAGGTCCTTGGAGAAAAAGAGTCATTTTCCAGAAACTCTGAGCTAGAAGGACAATCACTCAGTCTTGTCCACTCATCCACTTGTCCACATGTGCTACTTCTTCATTTTCTCCCTAAATTAGGTAAAACTGCTTTCATTTGTAAAAAGCTTTTGGAATGGCAGCTAGGTGCAGTGAAGTTTGCCGTCAGCCATACCACAGAATACCAGGCAAAGCAGATACAGGGCAGAGCTCCAAAACTTAGAACCACAGAGCTAGGAATACTTTAAAAAGTTTGAAGGCTTATAGCTAGTGGAACTTGAAGCTGAAGTAAGAAATTGTATACTTTTGAATCTGCTGGGCTCAGAGGCCCGGAGCCGACTTCTTGGACAAGTCCAGGGGAACAGAAACACCATAGAAAAATGTTGAGGGAACTTTGGAGCAAAGGAGGACAATACAATTTGTCAGTTTTCCTTTGTTCTGATTTTTTTTTTGTTTTTTTTTGGTATCTGGTCATTGCCCCCCCTCCCCTACTGTTTGCACATCTCCATTCTAGTGACTAGAGGGGGAGCCTGAGCAAGTGGGCACCCTCCACCCTCACCACTGGTGGATTCTTCTGCCACGCATGTGCACAGATATTCAACCAAGAGCAGGCTGTGAACTTTTTTTTTCTAATATGGGAAAGGCCAGGACAGGGCTGTAGAGAGGGAAAGAGAGTTTAAAAACAAAACAGACCAAAAATTAAATGAAAGCCTAAGGTATAGTGTAACAACCAACAGTCGCATCTTGAAATCTCTCAGGCAGCTGTGAAAGCAAGAAGCTGAAAGAGGACATTAAACTCATACTCATATTAGGCTTCAGATTTTATTTTTCCTTCTTTCCTCCTCTCCCTTTTCTGTGATTATAGACTGCAGTATTCAGTCTAGTTTTGTTTTGCTGTTGTTGTTGTTTGGATTTTTGTTTTTATTCTTGCTGGTGCTGTTTTGCTGTTTTATGCTCCCATTCTACCTTTGGGGGACTCTTTCTCTTCTTATATTACCCAAGAAGAGACAGCAACTGCTGCCATATAGTCAAGCTACAATCACACTCTATAAACACTGAAACCCAGACAAGAACCAATATCAACTGCCATAAACCAGGGAGGCAGACAGCATCTGTGAAAGTTATTCTGAGTTACTCTAAAGTTAAGCAATAAGAAGAGTGAAAAGGAAAGCCCACATCCTGATCACATCTACCTGGAAGTAATCAGAAATAATAAAAAAAATGCCAGAAGACATAATTAAGTATTAAGGCCACAGATAAACACTAAGCATGTCCAAGATGCAAAAACAGATGACCATATCAGCACATGTCCAGAAACAAGATAAAATGTCTGAGACAAATGACCTAGAGGTAGACCTGGACTCCATTCTGGAAGGAGGGCAGGCCTTGGAAATACCTGAGAAGGAATTCAGAAAAATGATTATAAAATGTTTCAAAACACTTTACAATGGAGTTGAGAAAAATAAGGAAGAAGTCAGGAAAGCACTACAGGAACAATCAAATAAGATAGATACAGCATTGGAAACAATTCAAAACCTACAGAAAGACGTCAAAATGATTAATAATAGAATATCAGAAATAGACAATACTCTGAAAAGGCAAAGGAGTAGAAGAGATAGAAGGTAGAAACAGTGAGCTGGAAGACAAATCTCTTAATACCACTAAGAAAGAAGAGCAAACAGAAAAAAGTATTAAAATATCTGAGGAAGGTCTAACATTCATGTTGGACAACATGAAGAGGAATAACTTAAGAATTATCGGCATTCCAGAACAAGAAGAATCACACAAGTCCACAGAGGAGATAGT